TATGAGCTTCTTTAAGTAAAAATGAGAATACGGAAGCTTACACTTAATACTTCTTCTTTGAATACTTCAGCGGTTTTCGTTGCTCCAGAATTCACCAGATACTCATACACGTAAGCAGCAAGCCTAGAACACTTTGTTTCTATATTTGTTTTTGAAAGAAGCACTCGAAGAGGTGAATATGATAGGATCAGAGAAGGGCTCAAGTAAACTGTTGCGCACTCTGATTAAATTCGAAAGCCAAAAAAGTTGAACTGATAAACGTCCGAGATTTCACTACCAGTGGATAACTATGAATGAAGTAGATAGTGAGGTAAAATGGGGACGGCTTTAGCAAAAAAAAAAAACTAGAAGTGAGAATGAATTTTGAAAAAAGATTAGTGTACAAACAATGCAGAACTCACTTTTCCTTGGCATTTATGTCACTTTGACTTTGGACAGGAGCGCCAGGATTGGGCTGCATGCTGCCAGGCGGCCTGCGAGCAGCTTGCGGATTGAACATTCGATTATTGTAGTGGTGTCAGAACCATTGCAGAGCAGAGCTTATGCTAAAACATTGATTGGAATAAATTTCACAATATATCATATAGAATGAAGCGCCGCCTTGTTAACGGAGCTGCAAGAGTAACCACCAAACTACGATTTTAAAATTAGGAATTTTCAAGACAGAAAGATCGGATGATGTATGCTCAATATACTTCAACAACAAAAAAAAAACATATCCTCATTACTCCTGAAAATCCTACTAATCCAAGCAGCATTACCTCAATGGTTCAAAACTAGTCCGAAACATTCATGTAAAAAAACTCTAAACACAAGACTCTAAATGAAGTGGCCCATAGGGATTAGATGTATTCGAAGGGTGTCACATGCTCAAAAACGCAGATGTTGAAAGCTTCCGGTAGGATTTCGGATAGGTTGAAAAGTAAGCATAATGTTAGATCACTATATGATTATATTAACGGGCGACAAATGGTTGGAAAAACAGAGCTCGCAAATATGTTTCTGACAAGATATATATATATATATATA